CGCACCCAGATGCGACGCTACGATTGGCTGACCGGCTCGTCTTCCATGACCTCATTGGCTAGAACGGATGCTAGTCAACCCGACGGAAAGCTGACTTCCGGCACCCGGAACGCGGCCTTCCTGCCTGTCCGGAGCCGGGTGCTGGAGCCGTGCCTCCCGCCCCCGCGGACCCCGCGGACCCCTCGGAGGGCGACTCCACGGCGCAGACCCGGGCGGCCGCCGGGGCGGCTTCAGTGCGCGCAGCAAGCCCCCCCTCGGTGAAATGGCTCCCTCATGCTAAGTGTGCAAAGGTGCAAATGACGTCAGCCAGCGTCACGGGGCCCCCGGTGGACCCCTGGACGGACCGCCTGGCTCCTGCCTCGAGGAGAAATCCAGTGGATCTAACCCGCGACCTCATCTGTGGCAAACGTGTGACTTCAGCTCCCGTCTCTGGGTCTCTCCCCCCACGGGTGGCGGCGGCCGTTTTATTACCAACGGAGACAGTCTCCTGCCCACGGGTCCACTCCCCGAACGCCCCAACAGCCAGGGCCAAGGCCAGAGCCGGAGCCAGGGCTGGGTGTGGGCCTCTGACACGTGCGTGTCCCGGCCGGTAGGGCCTCCCGGGGCTGGGGCGGGCGTCACTACCCTGCCCCCGACGCCCACCAGGTCACTGCCCCGTCCACTGCGGGCCAGGAGCCCGGGCTCGGCGCCACCGCCGGCTCTGCTGAGGGAGCCCCCCACCCCCGGAGGCCTGAGGACAGGGACCTGGCAGCCCCCACCCCCCGGGACCCCAGCCAGGACAGAGTCCGTGCTCCCAGGGCCCTCCCAGGGCAGCGTGGGAGATGCCGCTCCCGGCCGTTCCTGCGGGTGCACCCTGGGACGGCACCTGGCTGGTGGCCAGTGCCTCAGGGAGCCCAGGACCCAGGACCCCTCCGCTTCCTTCCCGGCCGCACCCGTCCAGCCCCCTGCACCGGGCACCAGGCTTCCCGGGACCCTGGGCGTTCCAGGGCAGAGCGGCGCCAGCGCGGCGTCGGCCGAGCGAGAGGACGGAGCCCGCGCGCTGTGCATGGTCACCACTCCATTTATTCCTCCACGGCGCGCGCTGCAGGACGCGGCCCGCCTGCCCCTCCCGGCTCCGGGGAGACGAGCTGCGGGCGCCGCCCCCAACCTCTCGGCGCGACCCTCCTGGAACCCTGCACGTCCACGGTCCCGGAAGAAACGAAACGGGTCGGGCGCCCCCCGCGGCCCCACGGCCGAGTCCCTGCGCAGAGGGCGCGCTGCCGCCCCGAGTCCGGAATAAATACGGGAGCCCGGAGCGCGGGGGCGGGCCGGCGGGGGCGGGGCGCCGGCGGGGCGGGCGGCCGGGCCCTACAACTTGTCCAGGAAGTTGTCCAGCGCCGGGATGCCCTCCTTCAGGCCCTTGCGCTTGCGCGTCTCGGCCACCACCTGGCTGGGGCGGCTGCTGTTGTCGAAGGGGTCGCCGGGCAGGATCTGCCAGTGGTCGAACACGCACTGCGGGAAGGCCTGGCCGCCCGTGTTGGAGCGCAGGTCGGCGGTGAAGCCTGGGGCGGAGGGCAGGCGGGTCAGCAGGCCGGAGCTGCGGGCAGCGTCCCCTCGCGCCGGACAGTGCCCGCCGGGCCCGCGACACTTGCCGCCCTCAGCCCGCCCCGCGCCAGGGCTCACCGAAGGACTCGTTGACGGGCAGGTAGGCCTTGACCACGAACATGGGCGTGCCGGCCACCTGCGACTCCTCGAACACGTGGCCGCGCTTCCGGTTCAGCACCCCGTAGATGCCCCCGACCACCTGCTCAGGGCACTGCGGGGAGAGGGGCCCGGGTTGCGGCGGGGGCGGGGGGCGGGGCGGGCGCGGGGCGGGGCGGGGGCGGGGCAGGGGCGGGGCGGGGCGCCGGCCTCACCTGGATCTCCACCAGGTAGATGGGCTCCATGAGGCGGGGCTGCGCGGTGAGCACGCTGGCGTAGAGGCAGCGCCGGGCCGTGGGGATGATCTGGCCGCCCCCGCGATGGATGGCGTCGGCGTGCAGCGTCACGTCGTGCACGTCGAAGCGCACGCCCCGCATGTTCTCCTCGCACAGCGCGCCCTGGGGGAGGGGCGGGTCAGGGCGGCGCCGCTCTCCCCGCCCCCGGCCCCGCTCTCCCCGCCCCCCAGCCCCGCTCTCCCCGCCCCCGGCCCCCGCCCGGCCCCGCCCGCCTCACCTCCTTGGTGGCCCACTGGAAGCCGGCCACCACGCTGTCCTTGATCTCGTTGAGGTACTGCACCCCCTTGGTGATGTCGGTGAGGATGTTGGGGCCGGTGCCGTCGGGCCCGAAGCACCAGATCTTGCGGGCCTCGGCCACGTCCCACTCGTACTTCTCGGCCAGGTAGCGGGCCCGCTGCTTGAGCTCCTGGCGCGCGGACACCTCGCCCTTGTCGATGTCCTCGGCCAGGCCGTCGGGGAAGGGGCGCGCCTTCATGTACAGCCGGTTGTGCTTGTTGGGGGACTTGGAGAGGCACATCACGCTGGACTCCTCGCTCACCGTCTCGCGGTAGGACACCACCGGGTCGGATTTCTGCAGGCAGGCCGGAGGTCAGGCGCTGCGGGGCGGGGGGGGGGGACAGGGGCGGGGGGGACAGGGCAGGGGGGACAGGGGCGGGCAAGGACAGGGCAGGGGAGGACGGGGCGGGGGAGGACAGGGCAGGGGAGGACGGGGCGGGGGAGGACAGGGGCGGGGGAGGACAGGGGCGGGGGGGACAGGGGCGGGGAGGACAGGGCGGGGGAGGACAGGGGCGGGGGGGACAGGGGCGGGGGAGGACAGGGGCGGGGGGGGGGACAGGGGCGGGGGAGGACAGGGGCAGGGGAGGACAGGGCGGGGGGGGACGGGCGGGGGAGGACAGGGGCGGGGGAGGACAGGGCAGGGGGGACAGGGGCGGGGAGGACAGGGCGGGGGAGGACAGGGGCGGGGGGGGGACAGGGGCGGGGGAGGACAGGGCGGGGGGGGGGGACAGGGGCGGGGGAGGACAGGGGCAGGGGAGGACAGGGGCGGGCAAGGACAAGGCAGGGAGGACGGGGGCGGCCCCGCACCTTGATGGGGATGCAGGCGTGGTCCTCCTCCAGGTCCTTGAGGCAGATCTCCAGGTGCAGCTCGCCGGCGCCCGCGATGATGTGCTCGCCCGACTCCTCGATGATGCACTGCGGGCAGGGGCTCGGCACGTCAGCCAGCCCAGAGCCCCCTCCCCGCTCAGCCAGCCCAGAGCCCCCTCCCCACTCAGCCAGCCCGGAGCCCCCTTCCCACACCAGCCAGGGCCAGAGCCCCCTCCCCGCTCAGCCAGCCCGGAGCCCCCTCCCCGCTCAGCCAGCCCGGAGCCCCCTCCCCGCTCAGCCAGCCCGGAGCCCCCTCCCCGCTCAGCCAGGCCCGGAGCCCCCTCCCCGCTCAGCCAGGCCTGGAGCCCCCTCCCCGTGGCCCCGTGGACCCCCGGGCCCGCCGCCCGCCCGGCCCCGCCGCCCACCTGCACCATGGGGTCCGACTTGGCCAGCCGCTTCAGGCCCTCCACCAGCTTGGGCAGGTCGGCCGGGTTCTTGGCCTCCACGGCCACGCGCACCACGGGGCTCACGCTGAACTTCATCACCCGCATGTTGTGGGCGTGCTCGAAGGTGGTGATGGTGCCCGTCTTCACCAGGAACTGGTCCACGCCCACCAGGCCCACGATGTTGCCGCACGGCACGTCCTCGATGGGCTCCACGTAGCGGCCCATCATCAGGATGGTCCTGGGCAGGCCGGGCGCAGCCCGTCAGCGCGGCGGCACCCGGACACACAGCACCGCCCACCCGCGCCCCTGCAGGCCAGCCCCGGCCACTGCGCGGCGGGCTCACTGGCCGCCACCGCCCGGGCGCTCACCTCTGGATCGGCTTCAGGTACAGGTCCTCCTTCTTGCCGGGCGTGTAGTTGGGGCCCATGATCCTGACCTTGAGGCCGGTGGACACCAGCCCCGAGAACACGCGGCCGAAGGCGTAGAAGCGGCCCTTGTCGGAGGTGGGCACCATCTTGGAGATGTACATCATGAGGGGCCCCTTGGGGTCGCAGCTCTTGATGCCCATGGCGGCCTCGTCGTCGGGCGGCCCCTCGTACAGCAGCTCGCAGCGGTACTTCTGGGCCGTGACGGGCGAGGGCAGGTGGATGGTGATCATCTGCAGCAGCGCGTCCCCGGCCGGCAGCCAGCGGCGCATCACGGCCTGCGGAGGGCGGCGCAGGGCTCAGGGCCCGCCGGGCGGCTCCCTGTCCCCTCCTTCCCTGCCCCTCCACGGGGCGCCCTGCGGGACCCTGGCGGGCCGCCCACCTTCAGCAGCGGCTTGCCCTCCTTGTCCTTGTCCTCGCTGTCCAGCTTGATGTCCAGCTTCTCGATCAGCTTCGCCGTCTCCTCCTTCTTGAAGTTCATGATGGCGTCGAACACCTGCAGCCGGCGACACCGCGCCGTGAGCCCAGCGCCGGGAGGGGGCCCGCATGCCGCTCCAAACCCAAGCCCTGGGCCCCCCCAGGCCCCCGGCCCCGCCCACCTTGAAGATGGGGTCCAGGATGAGCTGGCAAAAGGTGCGCGGCAGCTTCTTGCCGTCGGGGCTGGTGGCCGACTTGCTGAACTTGCCGTTGGACGGGTCGAAGTACCTGGAGCGGGGGCGGGGGCGGGGGCAGGGACAGGGGGCTGTCAGGTCTCAGCCCTGCTGCTGCCTGCCCGCCCGCCCGCCGCCCCTCCGCCCCGCGCTCACCGGTCACCCCACAGCTTCTTCATCATGTCCTCCACCTTCTTGGCCCGCTCCGCCGGCCCCAGCTGGCCCTCGCCTTTGGCTGCGAACTTGGCCACGTACATCTCAGCAAACTGCTTCAGCGTGAAGGCCCAGCCGTGCAGGCCGGACCCGAAGCCCACGGTGCCCAGCACGGGGTCGATCTGGGGGAGCAGGGCGGCGCTGAGCGGCCGTGGACGGGGCCGCCGTGGGCCCCGCCCCGCCCTGGCACCCCGGCCTCAGACGTGGCCTCAGACACAGGCTGTCTTCACCAGAGGTCAGGTCAAAGTGAAGAAGTCTCGGTCATCACGGGCTGCCGCCCCCCGGCCCGCCCCGCGGCACGCACCATGATGTTGCCCATGGGCCCGCCCTCGCCCCCACCCGCCCCGCGGCACGCACCATGATGTTGCCCATGGGCCCGCCCCCCGCCCGCCCCGCGGCACGCACCATGATGTTGCCCATGGGCCCGCCCCCGCCCTCGCCCCGCCCCGCGGCACGCACCATGATGTTGCCCATGGGCCCGCCCCCGCCCCCGCCCCGCCCCGCGGCACGCACCATGATGTTGCCCATGGGCCCGCCCTCGCCCTCGCCCCGCCCCGCGGCACGCACCATGATGTTGCCCATGGGCCCGCCCCCGCCCTCGCCCCGCCCCGCGGCACGCACCATGATGTTGCCCATGGGCCCGCCCTCGCCCTCGCCCCGCCCCGCGGCACGCACCATGATGTTGCCCATGGGCCCGCCCTCGCCCTCGCCCCGCCCCGCGGCACGCACCATGATGTTGCCCATGGGCCCGCCCCCGCCCTCGCCCCGCCCCGCGGCACGCACCATGATGTTGCCCATGGGCCCGCCCTCACCCCCGGCCCGCCCCCAGCACGCACCATGATGTTGCCCATGGGCCCGCCCTCGCCCCGCCCCCGCCCCCGGCACGCACCATGATGTTGCCCATGGGCCCGCCCTCGCCCTCGCCGTAGGTGGAGATGATGACGTTCACGTTCTCCACGATGCGCTGGAAGGTCTGGTACAGCTCCTCCGGCTCCAGCTGCAGCTCCAGCAGCGCGCGGTCCATCTTGTTCATCATCAGCACCGGCTTGATGCGCTCGGCGATGGCCTGGCGCAGCACCGTCTCCGTCTGCACGCACACGCCTGCGGGGCCGCGGCTCAGTCCCGGCTCAGTCCCGGCCCGGCCTCACCCTGCCTGCCTCACCCCGCCCTGCCCCGCCCCGCCCGGCGCCCCGCTCACCGGACACGCAGTCCACCACCACCAGGGCGCCGTCGGTGACGCGCAGGGCGGCCGTGACCTCGGAGGAGAAGTCCACGTGGCCGGGGGAGTCGATGAGGTTGATGAGGAAGCCCGAGCCGTCCTTGCTCTGCTTGATGAAGTTCAGGTCGTTCTCCGAGAGCTCGTAGAACAGCGAGATGGCCCTGGGGGGGGGGCCGGGTCACGGTGCAGGCGGACACCCCCAGCCGGGCAAGGCCGGCCCCACCCGCACCTGCCGCACCTGCCCCTCTGCTCCCCGGGGGCCGGCCTGCACCACACGGGAGCCGGGGACGCTGGGGCCAGCTGACCCTCTCGGGGTCGCCCTGGGCCCTGACCACAGGGACAGCACAGGAGCTAATGCCCACGCGGGGGCCTGTGTCCCTGGGGGACACAACCGTCCATGCTGCAGTGGGACAGCCCGCCCCCAGGGGTCCTAGACCCCACCCCCTCTCTGCCCAGCACTCCTGCCCTTGCCCAGGCCACCTGTGGCCAGCAGCGCCCTGCCCGGGGCCAGAGGCCACTGGGGGGGGTTGATGACGCAGGCACGGCCCCGCCCCCGAGCAATGCCGTCCCGCCCCCGGCTGCAGACCAAACAGTGATGAGGCCCCGCCCCCGGCCGCGTGCCCCCAGGACCCCGACCCCTGACAGTGACGCAAGCCCCCCTCCACCGCGCACCCCGCCCCCGGCTGTGCCCCCACTGTGGACCTGACAGCCTGTTAACCCCTCAGGGCCCGGCGCCGTTGGCGGGTGGGGGGGGTGCACCGGGTCATGGCCTGGGGGCGGCGGGCGGCCCCCACGCGGGCGCAGGCCTTCCGTGCAAAAGCCCCCGGCTGCGCGCCCCCCAGTGGCCCTGATAGTGGTGCACCCCGCGCCCGGACGTGCGCCCCCAGGACCCTGACCCCTGACAGCAATGCAACCCCCCCCACCGCCCTGACAGCGATGCGCCCCGCCCCCGGCCCCGGCCGCGCGCGCTCACGTGGACTTGATGGTGATGCACCGCTCCTGCTCGTCCTTGCGCGTGTCAGTGAAGCGCGTCTCCCCCGCGCGGGCCGAGGCGATGATGCCGGCCTTGCACACCAGGGAGTCGGTCAGCGTGGACTTGCCGTGGTCCACGTGCGCGATGACCGACATGTTGCGGATGTTGGCCTTCTTGTCCATGATGGCCCGGATCTGGTCTACGGTGAAGTTCACCTGCGCGCGGGGAGGGGGCGATGCCAGGGGTCCAGGAAGCTGCCGGGCGGGGGTCGGCGGCCGCGGGGACCCCGCCGCGAGCCCCGCCCACCGCCCCCAGCCGGCTGCCGAGCTGTCACTCACGACAGCAGCCGGGGAGGGCGACCCCCGCGCGTGACAGCAGGTGCAGCCGCCCCCGCGCCCCGGGGCCACCCGACCCCGCTGCCCACTCGGTCCAACAGGGCAGCTTCCGGGTCGGCAGGTGCACGGCGACACCTCGCGGCTGCCACGCGGGCGAAGGTCAAGGGCCGGGCCACGGTGGCACCGGGCGTCCGCGGGAGGGCAGCCCGCCCGCGCCCCCCGCAGCCCCGCCGCTTACGTAAGGCGCCCGCCGCCCCGGGCCCGCGCGCCCGCCGCATCAGCACGCCCGGGCCGCGTCCCCGCCGGGCGCCCCCGCGAGCCCCCAGCGGCTGCCCCGCAGCCGCGCGGCGCGCAGTCATGGCGCCGGCCGCTTCCCCCGGCCCCGAGCCCGCCGGCCCCGCCGCCGCCATGTCTGCGCTCCCGCCCCGTCGGCGGCCGGCGCGGCAGCGGCGGGCGCGCGGGGCCCCCGCAGCCGCCCCCAGGCGCCGGGCGGCCCGCAGCGCTCACCATGGTGGCGGATGGCGTTGGATTCTCCCGAGCAGACCCGAGCGAGGCAGGTCGCGCCGAGGATGGCGGCGACGGCGGCGGAAGAGAACGCTGACGTCAACACCCAGCCCTTTATAGGCCGACGCCGGTTGGGTGGGTCACATGACCGCGAGGCGGGGGCGGGGCGAAGGCGCTGGACGCGCAGGCGCACAGGCGCCCGCCGCCTGTTAACCCCTCAGCGCCCGGCGCGGCTGGCGGGTGGGGGGGGTGCACCGGGTCATGTCCTGGGGGCGGCGGGCGGCCCCCACGCGGGCGCAGGCCTTCCGTGCAAAAGGTGCAGGTGCACCGGGGGAGGAGCGCGCAGCAGGCTGGGACAGACAAAGCGCCCGTGTTAGCTTGCACGGTGCGGAACATTTTTGTTAAGACCCTGTGAGCAGGGTCCCTAAAGTGTCACTTTCCTGATTTGGGAATTACGTAAGGGGCTCGCGCAGGGGGGAGTGGGTGCCTGCGACGCCCGGTTGCTGCTCCTGCAGCTGCTCGCGTGTCGCGGCCCCAGGGACTTATCTTAAAAAAGAAAAAAAAAATGTTGTGTTTTGCAAAGATGCATCGACTCTGCTGCCCCGAAAAAACGCAGCGAACGTCTCCCAGCAGGGGTCGTGGGAAAATGAGCCTTCTTAAAAAAAAAAAAAAAAAAAAACACGTGCGTGGATCCCCGCGCCCCTGCGATGCCCACTTCCCGGGTGCGGGGCGCCCAGCGGCCGTCGCCCAGTCCCCGGAGCCCGGCCTGCGCCGTGCGGGTCCCGCGGCCGGCGGCTCCCCACGCACGCCCCGTGCGTTCCGCCTGCTCTCCAGCGGGCGGCGCGCGTGGACCGCGGCGCGCGCGTGTCCCGAGGTGACCCGGCTGGAGCCGCAGCGGCCTCCGGGGGTGCCCGCCGCGGCTTTAGTGCTATTTACGTTCTGCATCCGAGGGCAGCGCCCCCCCTGGGGACCCTCCCCTCGCGGTCCGTGGGCGACAGGCTGGGGCAGGGGCCGGGGGCGTCCGTGGGAAGCAATGCGGGTCGGCCCCGCAAAGACGCGCGCAGCCCAGGTCGTCTCCGAGCAGGGGCCGGCGCCGCCCTGCGGTCGCCCCCGCACCCCCCGCCCCGAGCGGACGCGGTGCGGGGCCGTCGAACCCCACGACCCTCTGCCCTCGCCCCCAGCCCCACGAGCGGAGGAAGCCGCAGCCAGAGCCGGGGTCTGCAGCAGCACGCACGGGCCGGGCGTGCAGGGCGGGTACGCGGGGGCGGCGGGCCGGGGGAGGGAGGAAAAAAAAAAAAAAAACAACCAAAAACCCAAAACTCGGCTCTGCAGGGCGGGCCCAGTGCGCGTGCGCGGAGGCCGCAGCAGCGACCCCTGCCGACCCGAGGCCGCCACTGCGCGCCCTTGGAGGCTGCGGTTTTCCTGGGGAGCAGCCCGGGGCTCCTCGTAATTCGTTAAAACACACTCGTTCTAAGAATTTGCGACGCGGACATCTCGAGCAGCCGGTTCACGCCGCCCGGGACAGCCGAGGCTGGGCCGGGTTAATTAATGGATCACGAAGCCCGCCTTGCCGCTGTAACCTCCCAGGTACCCCTTACAGTCGGCGGACGCCCCCACCCCGCCCCCGGAGCTCAAATCCTTCGCCCGGGGGCCAGCGCTGTGGCTTAGCACGTGAGGCCTGCAGGGTGGACATCCGCTGTGGGCGCCGGTTCAAGCCCCGGCTGCTGCACCTGGGAGAGCAGTGGACGATGGCCCGAGTCTGGGCCCTGCACCTGCTGGGAGGCCCGGGTGGAGCTCCTGGCTTCAGGCTGGCCCAGCGCTGGCGGGCATTTGGGGAGTGACCCAGCAGATGCCAGACCTCTCTCTCTCTCTCTCTCTCCCTCTGCCTTTCAAGCAAATGTAAATAAAGATTTAAAAAAATTAAAGTGTCCCTGCCCCTCAGGCCCGGGTTAGGGCGGTGGATTAGAGCCGGCAGCAAACCCAGCTGCCTGAATCTGTTTTGGAGGCGCCCTAAGGGCAAACAGGTGCGTGGGGCGGGGCGTTCGGAGGCCCCGCCTCTCCTGCTGGGTCCAGCGAGGCCGGCGGTGAAGCCGCGGGAGACCCGGAGGTTCCGCACCTGCGCGCCGGTCCCAGCCCCCGGCTCCTCCGGGTTTCAGCTTCCTGCAGGGCGGCCGTGGGGGCTCTAGCACCAGGGTCCAGGGTGGAGCTCCGGGCTGGGGGCTGGGGGCAGGGGCGGGGGCG